GCATGCTGTATTTCTGTTTTCATTTCTTCAAGGTATTTTCGGATTTTTTCTTGGAACCAGTGGTCGTGCAGTAGTAATGTGTTGTTTACTCTTGGCAGAACGCTTTTCCAGTTTTCTTTTTGTAACTGATTTCTAGTCGGATTCTGGTCAGAAAAGATGCTTGACAGGATTTCAATCTTAAATTCATTAAGGCTTGTTTTGTGGCCTAATCTCTCTGTTCCTTCCACGAGAGCTTGAAATGGTGTATTGTTGCTTTTGGATGGCACGTTGGATTTAAGTCCATCTGGTCTCCTGTGTCCTTTAAGGCTGATGGCCCCTTGTTGGTTTTCTATTTGGATGATTTGTCCGTTGATGTGAGTGGGGCACTTAAATCCTGTGTTATTCTATTGCTGTCCCTTCCCCCCTTTAGGTCTGTTAATACTTGCTTTATATATAGGTGTCCTTTGCTAGGACAAAGGTCCTTTGAAGTACCTCGTACCTTATAGACTTGTGATAGCATAAATGGGATCTTTTAAGAATTGTTTTTTAATTACTGACTGTATATAGGAACATATTCAATCTTTTATCTGACTGTACAGCTATCTTGGTAGATTAAGTTTTTAAAAATTTTTTTAATATTTATTTTTTTTTTTTGAGAGAGAGACAGAGCACGAGAAGGGGAGGGGCAGAGAGAGAGAGAGAGAGAGAGAGAGAGAGAGAGACACAGAATCTGAAACAGGCTCCAGGCTCTGAGCTGTCAGCACAGAGCCCGACACAGGGCTTGAACTCTGGAATGGAGAGCTCATGACCTAGACCGAAGTCGGACACTTAACCGACTGAGCCACCCAGATGCACCATTTCTTTTTTTTCTTTTTTAAAGTAGGCTCTATGTCCAATGTGGGGCTTGAACTCACGACCCTGAGATGAAAAGTCACATGTTCTACCGACTGAGCCAGCCAGGCCGCCTGGTAGATTTGCTTAGTAATCCCTTATTTTTCTTTTCCAGTGGCATTCACTAGGATCTCCAGTACAAGTAGACAACGTGGCGGTAGGATTCTTCCCTCGTTCTGATTTTAAAGGAGCTGCTCTGAGTATTCCAACGTTAAGTATAATGTTTGCATTGGATTTTGGAAGGTAACTTTTACCAGATTAAGAAAGGTTTTGATTTCTAAGAGTTTTAAACAAAATTTATGGGTGTTGCATTTCTAACAAAGGTCCTAATGACGACTGAGGGGATTATATGGCGTTCTTCGTTAGCATGTTTCATTCAGGAGTGGCCAGGCCGTGTCAGGAGACCTTATGAACCTTGAAATCTCAGAGGCTTAGCACAAGTTCGTTTTTTCTCCATGTCAGGTCTAGTGGGGGCGGCCCCGGTCTGGTTTCCCTTGGAAACTTGGAACTCTGCCATCTTGCGCTGGGAATCTAAGGGTGTCACGGTGAGGAAAGAGCGGGCATGAAGGTGGCACCCATGCTGTGCCCGGCCCACGGGGACACATGTCTGGCTCTGAGGGGCCTGCCTGCGAGGGGCTGGGAAGCAGAGTGTTCCCCTGCGCCCGGGAAGGAGAGGCGGCCAGATGGGAGCACCCGAAAAAGGCATCTAGTGCATGAGGTCTAGTCTGTTCACCGGCGTACAGGCATTCCGTCCCTGCACCCAAGGGAGAGTGCTGATTTTTACACACTGTTGGCTTGGGGTTGCCGAGATTATTTTAGAAGTTTCGTGCAAGTATTTGCCTGTAGTTTTTTTGGACGGTTGTCTTGGGTTTGATGTCAAGACTGTATTCCGCTCAGAACAAGTTGAGGAGTGTTTCCCCTTCTGTTCTTGGGAGTGTGCAGGTAAGCCTGAAGCTATTTGTTTGGCACGAATCACCTGTTAAGCCTGTCTGGACTTGATGTCTGTGAGTGGATTTCAAACCAGATTCAATTTCTTTAATGTCAAGAGCCTCTTCTTCAGGGCTGTCATCATGGCCCGAATACTTCACTTGTGGGGATTTTCAGTTAAGAGGACTGAATGAAGGGGTCTGCAGAGTGCTTGGTCCGCAGGATCTACATGTATGCAAGTGATGAGGGAGGTGGCAGCTTGCCAGACCTCTTCCAGGTCCTACCTCGCTGGGCTCTCACCTTATGAGGTGGAAGATGACAATACCTCCACTGTCGGCTGCAGAAACCAGGAAGTGGAGAAGGGGCCGCTTACCTAAGGTCTCTGGGCTTATCAGCTGCGGAACCAGGACGGGAGAGAACAGTGCGAGGCCATTGCGCCCACAGAAGACTGGCCCTGCGCATGGACCTAAGGTCTGAACGGGGGTGGGGGCAGCTAGGGGAGGGTCCTTCTCAGGTCATCTGAGCATCCTGAGTTGCTGGGCCAGACATGCAGATTCCCAGGCCCCTCTGGGGGTGTCAGTGGAGCCCAGGCATTTAACCAGGATGGGCGGTACCAGCCAGGCCTTGCAGCTCTGGTCGGCAGGCTCAGTGCACCCATCTGCACCTGGCCCGTTACCTGCCAGTCACCTGCAGGGGGGGGTGGGGCCAGACCAGGCTGGTTCTTGGTATCGTCGGCTAGTGGAGGACTCAGGACCTCTCTTCTTTCTCGTGGGCAGGACAGTGAAGGGGGCTGACACACAGGCTGGGAAGAAGTCCCATGGCTCACCTTAAATGGAGGAGACCTAGCCCACCTCAGATCGAAAAGACCGGAACTTACCGGGCTGTTTCCAAGCCCATGTGTGCTGCCTTGTGAGTGGCAGGCGGATGGAATCTTGCAGAGGGTGCACCTTCAGAGACCAGCTTTAGGGGCTTTGGAAAGTAGCCCTAGGTACCTCTGTGCCCCCTGAACTCGACCTTGGAAATTTCAGTTTTTTTAGGATGCTGGGTTTGAGGGAGCAGTATAGGGCTTGTGCATTAATCTGCTTCTGGAGCCCCAGGCCTAGGAGGGAAAATCCCAGATAGGGGCTGGTGACCTCTATCCCCCCCTGCCAAAACCACCCGGCCCCAGGACTGGGTTGTTAACTGCATCCTGCCGGAGGCCCCGCCTGTGTGGAGGCAGCTCGGACTGTCGCTTGGACGCTTTCGTCTGTGTTTATTTTCCTCTCATATAAAAGTTAACAGGTTTGAAATGTCTGCAGGAAGATGCTATCAGCCAGGTTAGTGGGGGATATATATATATCTTACAACGAACGTCGCGGGGGCAGGGGCGTGTGTGGAGGCGCTTCTGGAGAGCTGGGTTCGTGCTGACCTGGCGTGTGCGTGCCCTGCCGCTGGCCCCGGCCCCACCTGCAGATGAGAATGACTTTCCTCCCGAGGCAGAAAGTCACAGGCAGGCTGCGGTGACGGCACAGGGTCTGCAGCTCCCAGAGCCCCGAGGGTGCCTCAGCGAGGCACGGGGTGGGAAGCCCGTCAGCCAATAAGTTAAGCACACGTTGCCCCTGCGGTCCTCACACAGGGTCGCCCTGACACACGGGCCCCTCGTCCCCGCCACACTGCCTCCCCCTGCCTGGCTGGTCGCCAGACCCTGACCATGGACACCCACCTGACCACGTGTGTGGCGGAGACACGGCGTCAGTTATTTGTGGCGCGGTGGCCCCCGTGCGTGCACACGACAGCATCCAGCGGAGCTGGGGTGGAGGGAGGCGTGACGGGAAGGGAGAGGACAAGACTGCAGCGAGAGGTTCCGAGTGGGAAGCAAGCCCACCCTCAGCACTGAACCACACACTTCAAACAGGAAAGTGACACGTTCCGGCCTGTGGCCGCAAGATCGCCACCAGAGGGGCGTCACTGGCATTTCACAGATGTTCCCCCCTCCACATACAGGACCACAAACAAGTGAAGGGAGCTGTTCGAAACCCATGAGGGACTCAAAGGGACTGGTCGTTTAGGAAGTTAGATCCCGGCATTTGCTTGACCAAGTCCTGAGCCCAGGAGAAGCGAGCGCTCAGCCACAGACCAGGACACGAGAGGCATGGGGGCAGCCGCCCGGCCCCTCTGTGTGCAGAGAGCTCCCTGCCTCGGACCGTCAACCTCAGCAGCGAGAGGGGTTTCCAACAAGGAAGACGCTCTGCCAGAGGAGAAAGCAAGCCTGCCCCGGGTAGACACTGCCGTAGCCAGGGCGGAGCAGCCCTGGCTCCATCCGATGGAGGCAGGTAGGAGGGGAGCCCACGGGGCAGGGGGGGGGACGGGAGATGGAGTTTAAGGCACACAGCAAGTGACAGAGGAGGGGGCCGCGGGCCTTCCCCAGGACAGAAACACCCCTCCGCTCTCCACATTTCACTCCCCCGGGAGCTCCCGGCCCCAGCTCAGATAAAACAGAAGTCCTCCTTTGCTCCTCCCTCTGCCCACTCCCCAGAGTGCTAGGTGACAGGGGCGATGAAGGGACAGACGGGGGACCACCGTGAGGGCCAGTACCGTGACGGGAGCACCAGCTCTGGGCCTGCTGAAAGGCCACCTGCCGGAAGAACCTTTTGGTGCCACATACGAAGCTCATGCCATCTTGCATGTTAAAAAGCAGGGCGGGGGAAGTGGAAGGAGCCTCCCCGGGTCTTCTCTGCTCTCTGCCCACCCGACCGGAAGTCCCCTTCATTCCAGGTCACTGGGAGTCCAGGCCCCCCCCCCCCCCCCCCGCCTTGCGAGGGTCCTCTACCTGTGTGTCACGTCAGCAGATCCAGGACCCTAGGACCTGGGAAGAGGCAAACCATCATCCCTTCCCCCACCCTGTCTGCTGACATCCCTGTGCTGTTGCCAGGCGGGAGGTGCGGAGGGGATTACAGGAAGTGAAAGGCAGCAAATAACACCAGGGTTCACAAATCGAACGAGGCAGACCCCGCTGGCTCCACTGCTGGCTCATGCCTGCCTGCTCCGGGTCAGGAGGCTGCCGGGGCTCCACCCGTCTGGCCACAGCCAGGCTGGCTGGCCTCGGGGCCCGGGGCCAGGACGCGTGCAGCCTGCCCGGGGACAGGTCCAACGTCCCTCCCGGTCTCGGAGCCGCCCTCGGGGCCCCTCTCGAGCCGTGTTCTCCTTGCTCGCGCCACCCGCTTCTAGGTTTTCTCCTCCCGGTCTGTTTTTCTCCTCGTTATGTTCCTGGGCTTGATCTTCAGAGACAGTTCCCACAGCGCCTCCTCCGCCAGGTGGTCGCTGAAGTCATTGAAGAAGTTGATGATGTCATCGTTTCTCCGGATGTCGTAGTGCCTGGGGGGGGTGGGGAGGCTGGTCAGAGCCGGTGGGGCAGCTGCCACAGACCACCGCCCCCAAGCAGGCCCCAGGAGGACACCCCGCTCCTTGGGACCCCCCCCCCAACTGCTCTGGAGCCGCCTCCTACGTGCCGTGCAGGGCACAAGCAGGCCACCGTCTCCGTGCGCGCTGAGCCTCACGGCCCGGCGGCGGTACTCACGCTTGCTGGAAGCATCGCATGCTGTCCAGGATGTTGAACTGCTGCCACCGTTTGGAAAAGTTCACCTTCCCGTCGATATAGTCTGGGTTTCCCAGGTGAACAAAGGTGAGGTCCTGCAGGATAAGCCCCCTGGGAGGAGGGAGAGGCCCTGTCACCGCCCTGGACGGCAGTCGGGGCCCGCTCGGGCCCGTGGGCTGCGCCCGGGCAGCGTGTCTGGGAGTGTCCGTCTCTTCCAGCGGGAAGTCCCGACCTCCGGGCTGTGGGTCCCCGGGAAAGCCAGCTCAGGTGCTGGACGAGCCTCGTCACGTCAACAAACGAACGGGAAGAACATAACAAAGAGAGGCTCTCCAGGCCTCCGTCCCCACCGAGTCTCGGGTCTGCTTAACAGGTGAAGGAACGTGCTTCTGACTACAGAGGACACAAAGCCACGAGGTGAGCGACGGGGCACAGACGACGCCCTCGCAGGAGCCCAGCCGGCCACCCCAACGGGAAAGCACGGCGGCAGCCGGTGAGGGCAGAAAGGCGAGTCAGCAGAGGGAGGGTCAGTGGCGGCAAGATCTGGATCTCCGAGCGTGAGGGCCCTGAGGGCAGCCCCAGCCCCGGGACACCACTGAGCCTTCTACCCCTCTCTCCGAGACTCCCAACGTGTCCCAGCTTATTAAGGGCTCTGCTAACAAACCGGTCCCACTTTGATTTTTGCCGCAATTTCCCAGAAGATGCTTCTCCCCCAAAGCCCCGCTGAGTCCATTCCGTATGCACACTTGGGGAAACCCTCTCTGAGCTGCTTTACGTGGAGTGCTCTCGGGGCCCTCAGCTTACTGTAACGTGCAGCCAAGGGTGACGACCCCTCCCTGAGGTGGGGGTGGGGCGGAGAGAAGTGGGATGGGGAGATGGGAGAGGTGCAACCCTTTTTAAAAAATATTTTTTGCATTTATTTTTGAGAGAGAGAGCGCACAACCGGGGGAGGGGCAGAGCGAGAGGGAGACACAGAATCCCAAGCAGACTCCAGGCTCCGAGCTGTGAGCACAGAGCCCGACGCGGGGCTTGAGCTCACGGGCCGTGAGATGGACTGAGCCACCCAGGCGCCCCTGGTTTTAAAGTTAGAAGTAGAACTGTCTGGGTTGGAAACCCTTAAGGGAGGGTCTCTCTGAGGCGGCGGGGGGCTCTACTCACAGGTACGGGATGCAGGGGGGCTCCACCTCGGAGAGGGCGGCCCGGTAGGCGCGGAAGGAGGACGAGCTGTCGATCAGCGTGCAGTACTCGGCCAGGCCCTGGGCAGGCGGGACAGTGTGTGAGGGCGGGGACGCCAGCCCCTCCTCCCTGCCCGGCACCCCAGAGCCACGGCTGAGCGCCGGGGGCCCAAGTGGCCTTCTCCTGAAGCACACTGCAACCTGCGTCATGCCCCGAGCCTGCCTCTGCTCCTCCCTGTACTCGAGGCAGCGACCTCCCCGAGCTGCCCTTTCGGCACGCAGGGTGGGGTTCTTGCCAGTCTCACCCCCAGCTTGTCTCTTCCCCCGATGTTTCACCCCCTCGGGAACCTCCTACGTGTTCCTGGAGCAGCTGTTGTGACTGTCCCACACTTCTCCGTACGACACTGTCTTACAATACTGTCCCCTTGTGTCACCCCTTGAGATGACACCTGAGTGGCCCAGCTGACACCCAGCCCCTAGGGGCTTTGCCCCTCTTAAGGAACCTCTCGACACAAGGATAAAGGTCCAGGTCCTTGCCCGACTCCTCCCTGCAAGGCCCTCATGGTCCAGAGCAGGGCCCCTCCCCAGCCCCTGTCCTGCTGCTTGAAGGTGCCTAACTCCCAGTGTGTGCCCTCCCGTCCCCTCTGACAGGAATTCCCAGGATTTCCTTCTTCCCAGGAAACTCGTCCTACTTGGGTCTTGGTGTGATGGACGCTTCCTCAGGGGGCCTCCCCGTCCCCAGGCCAGACCACCCCACCCTCCCCCTGGGGCACCTGCCCTAAAGAAACCATCCAATACATCTCTAGCCTGTTCACAGTATGTCCACAGTGACCAGTGTGGCCCCCAGCCCAGAGCAGCCCCTCCAGGAGCATGGGTGGATGGGAGGAAGGAACAGGTGAAGCTGGGACCCAGATCCGGGCCTGCAGCCCAGGCGGCAGGACCCTGTGAGGGGACAACCCCAGCACCAACCGCGAAGATCAGAGATGAGCCACGGAGAACCCAGGTTGGGGGTGCGGAGCAGACATCTGTGTGCCTGCTGCCACGGCTGGCTCACCAGGGGCCAGGCAGACCCTCCCTCCCCCGCAGCCACTCACCTCCGAGGTCTGTTTCTGCCACTCCAGCCTGCGGATGGGCGCCGAGTCCAGTGCCGAGAGGATGGCCAGGTAGGAGTTAAAGTTGTTCAGCTTCCGTAGGTGCTGCGGAGGGAGGGGAGGCCGTGAGGCGGGCCCGGGGCCGCTGGGCAGGGCCCAGAGGAGCAGACTCTGGGCGGGGCGCCTGCGGTTACCTTCATGATCTTGATGAACTTCAACAGCAGCCGCTCCCTGTCCTGGGCTTTTTCTTGTAACATGATTATTGAGCGGACCCTGCGTGAATCAAAGAGAGAGAGACCACTGAGCTGAACAGTCTCCTCCCAGACCCCCAGGTGGTCCTGGTGGAGAGGGATGTGGATGCCTGCACTGCGTGCCCAGGGCTTCCGAGGCGCCAAGCACAGGCCCCCGTCTCTGCTCTCCAGGAGCTCGCGGCATCGCAGGGATAGTCAGGAGGCCACACACCAAGACGGGGTCCTCCAGATGGAGGCGCGGGAGCATCGAAGGAGAGAGTTCCTGATGAGCACGGGCTGGAAGTGCTCCTCAGGTGGCCTCCGGACTAGCCCAGGGGACGAGTGAGCACGTGGGGGAAGAGGCCGCCTTGAGGACCAGCAAAAGGCCAGCCTTGCATGAGGACGTCACAGGGGCCACAGCAGCCACTCGAGGAAGAGCCACCCCTGCTTCGTCTTAGGCGCCTGCCCTGAGCACACCCTGAGGACCGTGGCTCTGAAGGGCCCCGCCTGCACCTCCTCCTTGGAACCCCTGAGGACGCCCCACGGAGGCTTGCTACAGTTGAGCTGAGGAGAAAAACCAGCAAAGTGGGAGGTGACCCACGTTCTCTCCAAAAGGCAGTCCCCAGAGCCTTTTAACAACTAGATGCTCTGTCGGTGGCAGCGGTGGATGGGGTGTGGCCGGGGCCAGGTGCAGGCCGCATGGCTGCCATGCTCTGAACATCCTCCGTCCGATGCCGAGAGGCCATGGGCACCTCTGAGTCACATCTAGAAAAGCTAACAGTTCTGTTACACATTACAGTGTAAACACTTCGGACCTCATTCTGTGCTAAGAATTCAGGGCTTAAAGTATTAACACCCTCCTTAGCTGTTCTCTTTCAGGCAGAGGCGGGGTGAAGTTCAGCCTTGAGGCTGCCTGGGGGCTGGCAGTGACCAGTGCCGGTCGGCATACTGAACTCCCCTGTCGCCACCCAGGGCAGACATTACCAATCGATCCTGGCACTCCCCAATCTCAGCCAGCCCCCCAGGTGGCCCCTTCCAACATGCAAGACCCACCCTGCCCTGTCCCTGCTCTTTTCCTGCAGTGCCCAATTAATGCCCAGGGCCTTGGAAGAAGCTGGGAGGGATGGAGGGGGCACCTCCTCCTTGCCCTCAGAGCGCTCTGTGGGGGACGGCGTGGGAACCCGCTCAGATGCGCCTTACCAGTAAGACATGTTGTTGAAGTGCTCCGTGAACTGGGTCAAGTTGGGGCTTTTCTCCTCATTCTGCTCTTTGGCCCAAAGCAAAACCTCAGGAATCTGAAAAAGGAAGTAGACTGGATGGAACTGGAGCCCTCGGGCTTCTCTGTGATGGGCCGTTTCTCCTGTCTGGGGACAAGCAATGGCTGCTTGCCCAGGGCAACAGACAGCCTTATCCCCAGTCCCCAGTCCCCAGCCCTGCTCAATGCCATACCTCTATTTTATAAAAGAGCTCAGCGTCCAGCAGGGTCAGCTGCTCAGCTATCTCATGGCTGTGGAAGTCGTGTAACGTCCCCGGCCTAGAAGACAGAGGCGAGATGAGCAGTCGGGACGGGACGGCAGGAGCTGGGTGGGCCTTGTACTGCGGCCTCAGAGCCGGGGAGTGGGGTGCAGAGGGAGCAGCTGCCCCTAAGCCCGGCCTCACAGGAGGATGGCAGCCACAGAGCTGACAGGCAGCAGGACGGGGCCACACTGCACTCAGGCCCGAGACCCTGGTGCTCTGCTAGGTGGGTAGCCCCACTGCCAGGGCCCAGTGGGAGCAGAGATGGCACCACAGGGCTGAAGGCCGAAACACTGACAGGAAGTGACACATCAACAAACATCTGTGGCTGGGGCACAGGTGACAGACTGGAGACTACATCCCCAGGTTCTTAGGAATGTTCAGGACGGTGGGGATGGGGGGGGGGGGCGGGCAGGCAAGAGCTCGCGGCTGCCACGTTAGTGCCGGGAAGACAAGAGCTGACCACGGCCCGGAATGCATTCGCCTGTCTCCTGTCCCAGGAGGCGCCCCCGTCCTGGCCCCTCACTTCCTCGCCAAACGGGGACTCATCACACATCATGACCCTGGAGAAGAGGCCTAGCCCCTGAGGAACCCACTGGACCGTCCACTGGGCTGAACCTCATGGCAGGGCCCGGGCAGAGCCAGGACGTGAGGCTGGGGAGGTACGCCGAGGGCAACGGAACAGAGAGGCTGCGATCGGGGGGCAACTCTGCCAGAGGAAGGAGCTGGAGAAGCCACGGCTGGACGCTCACCTGGCGGCCACCCCCCTGGCTGCCAGGGGCTGGTCGGAGTTGGCACACCTGAGCAGCTTCTTCTGGTCCACCTTGTCCAGGATGTTCTTCCGGAGCACGCGCGCCAGGCTGAGCTCCCCGTTGCACACCAAGCGAAAGACCAGTTCCATCAACAGCTTCAAGATCTCTTCTGTCAACTCCACTAGGCTAGAGAGCCGAGGGCCATGCGGTGAGGGACAAGGGCCCAGCATAGGAAGAGGATGCCGCCGCCGGGCCCACATCCACCTCACAAACCCAAGGGTCACGTGACAGCGACCAGCAACACTGGGGATGGTCCCACTGGTGACACTTAGCGGTCGTGCCCTCCACAAGTGCCTGCTGGCACCGGATGAACACCAGGTCCCTGTTAGTGCTTGGGCTATGGAGACATTAGCACGTAAATCCCACCCCAGAGGAAGTTCCCGTTCCCATCCAGGTGACTGTCACTAAGTGGTCCCGGCCCCTCAGACCAGCCGCCTTGCCTGTAGGACACTCCTGCACCCTCTCTGCATGGCACTTCCCGAGCACAGTGGCCCGAAGGCTGTGCAGTCATGGACTAAGGCCTCCCTCCCGCAGCAGGGAAATGCCTTGAAGGCAGGGGCCCTGCGGTTTCTTCCCCGCAGCTCTCCAGACCTAGGAAAGGGACCGGCCGGATGGGTACTTGTTAAGTGAATGGTGACGGCGAGTGCTGACTTGGGGGGACGTGGGGGACTGAGGAGAGCAGCAGACGGGGCCTCCACTACTGCTGGGGGCTGAGGGCACAGGTGCCAAAGACCAGGCCTCATGCTCCTGTGCCCTACGCGAGGGACGCCCAGCCAGGTCTGGGTGGGAGGGCCATTCTCCCCAAGGGATCTTGTTAAAGTGGGTGGGAGAAGCTGGTGGCATGTGATGGGATGGATGGCCCCTTCTCCCCCTGCAGCCTTGGCTGGTGGTGGGGTTGGGGGGATCCCGGGATGCCCGAGGGCTCCCCACCTGCCTCCCTGCCATCTCACGGGCAGATGCACTCACCAGAGCTCATCCACCACCCGCACCAGCACGAAGAACGTGTTCTTGCTCACGCGTTTCTTGAACGTGTCGGCGAAGGGAGAGAACTTCTCGTACGTGGAGTGTGGGTTAAAGAAAGGCATTCTTACACAGGCAGGGATGGTGTGGTGGTGGGGGGAGGGCTGCCTCCCCCAGCTGCCATGTACAGAGAGCTTACAGTGCACAGGAGCCCTGGTCCCCTGGAAGCCGCTCCCCTGCTCCTCGAGGCCAAGCTTCCTGCAGGGCTCACTGAACCGCTGCAGGCTGCCTTGCTGAGCCTCAGCTGGAAAAGGGTGGTCAAAACCCACATGCCCTAAAACCTCCAGGTCTCCAGGGAAGGGGCATGGCCCAGAGGGGCTTCCTGCACTCTTGCCCTAGGTCCGCTCAGTTCCCATCTTTCCAGAGCCTCCGAGGCCCCTTCCCCACCGCAGCCACTCCAACACCTGTTCACCTCCTGCTCCTCCCGAAGGTCCTGGTTTCTGCCCAGAAAGTCACAGATCCTTGCCATCCTCTCCAAACCCTTCTCTGGCTGTCCTTCCTGCTCTTCCGTGATCCACGGGACACTGGAGGGGTGGGGACACACCAAGGACCGTTGCCAGAGCCTGCAGCACAGGACTTACTAGCCAGCTAGGCCTAGGATCTTAAGGCTGCAACATTCCCATCAATGCCTGAAGCAGCTGAACAAGGTAGGTGCCCTGAACCTGAGCTGGGAACCTATGTCAGTGGCTACTCTCCCACCAAACAGCCGTACAGGTCATTTACCTTCTCTGAGCCTATTTCGAATCACAGAATAGTGATACCACGGCACCATCCATAATATGGCAATAACATACGAAACAGTACTGTAACTGAGTGAGCCTTCATGGCACGGGCTTAGTTAGCATCCTGCCTGACGCTAGGAAGTTCTTGACAGGTACGCTGAGCCAGGCCTGCGAGCAAATGAATGCAGACTATCCACTTCGGTCTTGAGGGACCAGGTCCTCTAGTGCTGGGGTATGGGGACAGCGGAAGGAGCGATAGAGGTCTGCAGGAGACATGAGCCTGGTGGGGGAAGCCTTAGGACACACAGGAAAGGAAGGCAGACAGCTTGGAGGGAGAACGTGGGACTTCCTGCCCCAAGTAACAGAGGCTGTCCAGCAGAGGGCAGTCGTGGGCTGCGACAGGGAGAGGTGGCCAAGGAGCAGGTGACCCTGGGCTGGCCGGCTTTTTAGAAAAGCAGGTTTGAGAGAAAGGTAATGACAGCGGCTCCCGGGGCCCTGGGTCTTTCTCAGCTGCTCCCGCACAGGGTAGTCCCTGAAGGGGTGAGCCCTCGGGGCAGATGTGGCCGAGGGGCGGGAGTCGACTCTCCCTGGACATGGTACTTCTGTCCACCGCTGGTCTGCCGCCAGGCAGAGTGGCCGTGCCTACCTCTGTGGCTGTTTATCGGAGTCCCGATTCCGGTAAGCCCTGCACACTTGGTTCCTGTCACCTCAATGCCCTGGGGCTCAGCTCAGAAGCTGCAGGTGCCACCGACCTGGGTCTCTTTGGGGGCCTGGGTGCTCTCCTGTGCAGGTGCGCCAATTCTAACTCCTTTTCAGGACTCCTTAGTGACTGCAACCGCCATCAGGCAAGCCCACCCCCCATCCCTTATGTCATCTCACTCAGCCCCTGGGCGAGGACAGGGGCTCGAAGAGCAAGCCGGGCAGGAGGGACACGGGAAAGGATATCTGTACTGCAGCTTCTTGATGAGCTCCTCTGGGGTGATGAAGGTCCTGTAGGTGGTCAAGAAGGCCTCACAGTACAACACCAAGTCTAGAGAGAAGAGCGACCATTGAGGGATGGCTGCCACTGGCAGGGGACGGAGATGGCAGCGTGCCCGCTGCACGTATTTGCCATCTCTGACGACACACTGAGCGCGTCTTGTCTGCCCTAAGACCTGAGACCCAAAGGGCCTTCATCGTCATGGGCACAGAGAAAATAATCCAAACTCATCAGCAGGATTCTGAAGCCAGGTCACCGGTAATACTTTAGGAGGCAGTGTCCAGGGGCAAAGATCTTGGGAATTTCCACATACTGAGCGATAAGGCTGAAGGGCCACAGCTCAGCACGTTGCTGGAACACAGAAGCGCCAGGGAAGGGAAGGCCAACCGGGAGAAGCCTGGCCCCGGCGGTCGGGTGGGACCCAGACCAGCAGCTCCCACCCCTCACTCCCTGCCCTTCAGAAGGGCTAGCTCTAGCTGGGGATTCCCAACGTTCCCAGAATTCCAACAGCCCCCTGGCTCCGCTTGTGCTGGTGATGCAGTCCCTGACGCTAAAAAAAAAAAAAAAGGAATGTTTTAAACGCAGGACACTCCCCATCACAGACTCCCCGTCTGGCCAGGCTTAGGAACTTCAGAGTTAATTCTGTGCCGGAGCTGAGGTCTGAGTCCTGACTGGGTCCCAAAGTGTGTGCTGCTCACGGTGAGGCCGAGGGTGACACACGCACACGGTTTAAATCCGTGTCCTTCTCTGGACATGGACCCCTTCTCTGTCTTCTCTCATTCGTCCCCCACCTCCCCAAGTGCAAGAATCTAGGGGACCAGCAGAGGGGTGGGCCCGGCTGGCGCAGCAGGTGTCGTGAGGGAGGCTCACAGGCTGGAAATGCACAGCGGGGCCCAACGGCGTCGTGCTCAGGCGCCTCCTTCCTGGACCCTCCACTCACCCGGCTCACTGATAACTGGGCCTTTGTTCAAAGAGGCGGGGGCAAGGAGGCAGAGGTGAGCCCCGCACAGGCCACCGCCTGCTTCCGGAAGAACAGATCCAAGTCCGCGTGCCCTGAGCCGCGGGCTTCCCGGTACAGTGCCACCGGTGTGGTCTCTGGTCCATGGGAAGCCACCCGCCCAAGGAACGTGCCGTGTGGCCCCTGGCCTCCCCCGCCCCAGTCCACCCAGGTACAAATGACTGTTTCCCCCGGAATCCTCAGGATCTCCGTGAATGACATCGAGAGGAGGCACCAGTCGGCAACACCTGCCCCGGGCACGGCCCTGGCAGACCGGGCGGCTCTGGTCTGCCCTGCGCTCGGGGCTCCCTCTGGCCACACCCACAGGTAAGCCGCTCAAAGCCGAGGACGGGAGCCAGCCCCCGCTTCAGCCCTTTTGGAGAAAGAGGAGAACTGTTCCTCTCGGCCCAGCTGAGGACGGCACTCAGGCGGGCGTGGAGGAAGGTTTGCCGCAGCAGAGCGAGCGCCACTTCCCGAGTGCTGGCCGCGTGCCGCGCTGGCTCGGTCGGCTCCGTGCACCTCCCTGTCCCCGGGCCACCGCCAACCTCTTCAAGCAGCCGAGGCCGGAAGGGGAGGGATGTGCCCGGATTTGAACTCCGTGTCCGGGACCGGGGTCTGCCCTAGTCCAAGGAAGCCGGGGGTAAAGAAAGCCCAGTGGCTACGGTGAATTTGTTGGAGTCCTTTCTTCTTTTTCTCTATTTTTCAAATTGTCTGCCACGTGAACATTTCTGTACTATTTTCGTAACTTAGAAATTCCCAGAATCGTTCTGTGTAACGTATTTTGGGAAACCTGCTATAAAAACAGGGACGTGGTCATTCATAAAACTAAGATTGGCGGAGTAAGGTTTCAGGACTGGGGTGTTTCAATTCTTCCCACAACTGACTTTAATCCTGCGGTCACATCACCTTTTCACTCATTTTCAAAGACATCAACGGAACACCAGGCACCCGTCCCCCGTCCTGACTGAGGTCAAGGCCGTGGCGCCTTCCTCACGGCCCTCCTCCTCCCCTCCCTGTCAGAACTCAGGGCACGACAGCTCTGGTGCCAGCACAAAGTCTGCCCAACAGTGGGTGCCCTGCTCCTCCAGCCCCGTCAGTGGATCAGGACGCTGACTGGGGCGGTAGCCGCGTGCGGAGGGTCGGAACCCCATCCTGTGACGGTGCTGCCACTGCTCTGGGGCTGAGGCTCCCGGCTGGAATGTGTGCCAGGACCTCCGTGAGTGAAATCCATCTAGTGGTCTGGAATAACGTAATGAGTCAAACATCAGGAAAAGCAGAAAAAGCTACCCACGTGTCACCGTGACGTTATTTGAGGGACCGTGGGGGGAGCACCTACTGGGTGCCGAGCTCTGCACTTGAAGCTCCCTCTCCACTGACCCTGGGGTCCCTTGGGGTCATCACTACCCTTCACCAGTGGAGGACACGCCCTGACAGGGCTGGGAAGCAGCGAGCCCGGCTCTGTCCCCCGGGGTGGGCTCTCCTCACCGTGACCCTGCTGCACCCGGGCCGCCGTTCCGACCCGCTCAGGGCTGGCAGGGAGGGCCGCGGAGGGTAGGGCCACGGGGCCACAGGGCCAGGGGATGCCTGGAGAGCCGTGACAAAGGCCGCCGCACGGGGCGCTGACGCACCTTTCCTGTCTGTCTCAGTAGCGTGCACCAGCAGGATATCTCCGGACCCGCCACGGACGTCCGGCCCATCGTCACCCTGCAACAAGAGCAAAGCAGGGCGTGCGGCAGAATTCGGCTATAGGAGAGCTGCGCCGGGAAGTCCGGGGTAGGGACGAGACCAAGTCCCTGCACTGTGGAGACCCCGGGGCCCCCTTCCCTCTGGCCTCTGTCACCCGGGAGCAGCGTGGCCGCGCACGGAGGCCAGTGTGCCCGCGTGGCCCGCCCAGCTCTGTGCGCTCGGCAGGCAGGACAGACCACGGCTCGTCTGGGAGCCGCCCGGACACCAGGGCACCCCGCTCTGGGTCACAGTGGGGTCAGGGGACAATAGTACCATCAGATCTCTCTCTCCTCACCGCCCCGGGGTCTCAGAGGTGGGGAGGGCAGGACCCCACGGGGAGGCAGGCGGGGCTGCCAGCGGCCGCTCCGAGAAGACAGCGGGGGCAGTGGGCTCCTTGCAGGCGCACCCACTCCCACAACTGCAGCCAGCCGCCCCGCGTTACTGTTTCCCCAGGTGGGAGGAGTCACAAGTCCCTCCACAGGGAGCACTCCCAGGAGCCCGAAAGCGTCACAAAGACGCTCGATTATGCCCGACGTTGCTTATGGGACACCAGCTGACGTCTCCCGACTAAGGAACGAGTCTTACTTTCACGTGGGCAAACAGAGGCTTTAGCCCATAAACCTGCTGGGAGCCAAAGAGAGCTGGCAGCAGGCGAGCCCGAGAGCCCACACCCCTGCCTCTGATCCTGAAGGACACCCACCCCGCCAGCCTCCGTGGGCCCACGGCCCGCAGGCTCAGAGGCGCCTGCCTCTCCAAGCACTTCTGTGTTTCCACGCTTGGACTCGAGTCCCGAGAGCATCGTGCGTTTCCAGCTAAGGGTGAGGGCAGCCACGCCCACGCCCCGATTTTTCAGGACTTTCTGCAAAGGGTCACGAGACGTGACTTCTGTCGGCAGAGGAGCCAGCTGCCCCAGGGTCCCCGCCAGCCTCGCCTTTCCTGTCACGCTCTGCGGCGGCCGGCCCGGCCCAGCGCACCCCGTGCCAAGGGCGGTATACCCACTGCTTGTCTTTGCATCTGCGTGCCGCCACAGCCGGAGCCCAGAAACAGTCCTTCCCCAGGGCGGGGTCAAGGCTATGACAAGAAACTGTTCCTCTGTGCTTCCAGAATCGCCATCCCGGCAAGGCACAGGACAGAGGCGGCTGTGGCGGCTAGGCCTGGGATTTCTTAATCAGCCTGTGTCTCCCACACGGAAACTACCGTGGGGCATTCGGTCAACAGTAATGTGAAGGCGGCTTATGCTAATGAGGGCTCCCCATGCTCAAGCTCTGAACTGAACACCCTCCACCGAGTTCACAGTTATGATACCTCCCGAGTCCTGTCCTCTGGGGCTTAGGTTACACGACTCGCCCAAGATTACTCTCTGGAAGTACCAGAGAAGGGGACACGGGACATTTTCTCTAGGAGTCCATCTGTTTGCCCAGTGTCCTTCAGCACCCACCGTGGCCCAGGCACGGGGTCAGAATAAATGCCGTGCACAGAGCCTAGGAGGCGTGGGGTGGCCACCTGGGGCGTCGGTGCCTCACTTGGGTCTTCTGTTTGAGACACCTCCCGGTTCCATTCTCCTCAAAGCCCTCTCACTCCCTTTATGGCCCAGACGCTCAAGGAAGGCCTGTCCTCACCTGTTGCTTCAGTGTCAGCCTTGCCATGATTTCATTATGGTCGATGAGGGACAGCTCGTCAACTTCCTCCTCCGACCGAGCCAACTCTGAAGCATCTGGTGACCTTGGGGCCCTGGAGGGAGAAGTGGTTTGTGTCGCAAGCATCCAAGAGGCCCCGGCATCCAGGACAGCAGGGGCCCGAGGCAGTGCGGCCCGCTGCGTGAGGACTAGGAGTTACGACTGCCCCTGAACAGGTCCTTCTGGAACTGCGGCTACAACGGGGAAATCCACACCCTTCCCCCCGCCCCAGCACAGGGGGCCCGAGTCGGGGCTGGGAGCCAGGGCACAGACTGGATTTCTGGTGCCACTACCGATGAGCTCTGTGACCTTGGGACGTTTCTTGCTGTCTGCTCCGTCTGTAAGTGGACGGGATTAAGAAGGCGATCAAGAAGGTTTCATTGGACTATTTAAGTAAGTGATGGGATCAGCCACTCTTTGTCAAGGCCACCGTCCACATAGTCGGTATTCAAGGACAGAAATGGCAAAAGGGCAAGCAGCTTGGGAAAGAAAGTTCGCATGGCTATTCGCGCCATTCCTCAAGTTTTTTTCTAAGGGCCGCCTTTCTGTGGGACTGAGAAGTATGAGCCGGGCAGACTGGCCCTTGTCCTCGGGGGTGCTGGGATTAGCAGGAGAGGCGGACGTTAAAGCCAGCAGTTGGGGCACCGGCCTGAGAAGGACACAGCACAGTCTAAAGGCCAGCAGGCCCTGGGGCAGGACACACGGGCTGAGGCCTGAAGGACTGAGCCAGGGTTTGCTGGTGAAGGGGGAGAAGGAGAGAACGGCCAGCAGAGGAGGGATGTGGGGGGTGAGGGGGGCATCCCGGGAGCAGACAGATGCTGGGTCTGTAGGCACCATGCCTCCCCCGGCATCTTCTCCCATGTTCCGGTTTTATTCTGACAGTTTCCACCGTGGATCCTTGTGGTCACAGGCCACATTTTTAACCCTAAGTATCTGGGAGATAAAAACCTGTGCTTTCAGTAAGACATGGACGTCCCAGAGCAAAATCACACACAGTCATGGGAAGAACCATCTGCTTCGTGTCCCTTCAGGGTCCGGTCCGCAGTCTGGCCTTTGTGGAAAGAGGAGAACATCTCTGTAATTGCTTCTCAGTGGTCGACATGCTCATCCTTCTGTGTTCACGCAGGCCATCTGCAGCTCTGAAAAATGGTGCTCTCGGGTTCCGTGCAGCTGGAGGCTGAACCCATGAGTCTCTGTTGCCTGGCGCAGCCCCCGTTTGCTGCCAGGTGTTCAACTAGAAGACCCATCATCCCCTGCTTAATACTTGGGGAGATCTTAGCCCGGGCAGACGGATCAGACGGTCTCCACCCACACGGACGGCACTGAGGAGAGGCCAAGAGCAGGCTGGGCGGGCAGCCCTCTTCAGCAGGCCCCTATCGAGTGCTTTCTGATTCTTCTTCTGCCTCTTGCTATTTACCACCTCTTGAACCGTTTATGCTTAGGCCTGGCAAGCAGGACCCCAGAGGTAGCGGAACCTTGGCCTGCAGAGGGAGGAAAAGCTCGAACTTGTGGAACATCTCGCTGAGAAGGCAGCGTCACCACGTGGTTGCCGGTGGCAGGGCCAGAGAGGATCTGGAGGTCCCACGCGTACAGCAACGGACTACACGTTTCTAAACCGGGTCAGGTCTGACTCCGGCAAATGCTGAAAAATGTTACAAAAGATTAAAGACACATGGGGTTCCTGGGGGCTCAGTCGGTTAAGTGACCGGCTTCGGCTCAGGTCACGATCTCCCGGTGTGTGGGTTCGAGTCCCGCGTCGGGCTCTGTGTTGACGGCTCGGAGCCTGGAGCCTCTTCGGATTCTGTGTCTCCCTCTCTCTCTGCCCCTCCCCCACTCATGCTCTCTCAAAAATAAATAAATGTTAAAAAAATATTAAAAAAAAAACAAAGACCCACAACTAAACGCAGTGACTCCTGACTGATCTTGGTTCCAAAAAAATAAGCTATGCAAGCAGCTTTACGGACACTTGGGGGAGTGGAGGATGGTCTGCGTACCAGATGATATAAGGCAATTTATCATTACTTTCCTTGGGTGTGGTAATGGTATTGTAATCCGGGAAGCTTTAAAAATACTTCGGGAGGCACACTGAAGTATTTAGGGCCTGAATGTCACATCTGTAACTTACTTTCAAATGGCTTAACAACACAATACACCTGGCCTGGGATTTGAGAAAGAAAATACTGTCGTGGGTGACTTGCAAAGTGGATAATACATGAGCACATCACCAGGAAATAATGGCAGAATGCTTGCCAGAGTGGAGCCTTTAAGGGTGGGATTATCAAGGATTTTTCTGGTTTACTTGTATGTTTCTGTACTTGCCATGCTTTCTGCCCTGCACATGTATAATTTTGAGAGTCAGAAAAAGGGAAAGGATGTAAACCTAAAGCCCCGGGAGGCCTGTTTGCCGGTGGGCAGGGGGCAGCTCTCCCCGAGTGGGCTCGCTGCCTTCAGGGCCCCCACTCTACCCGGTCACGTCCTACCTTTCGCCGTCTCTGCTCTCCTTCCCAGGTGCGCCGCTGCCCAATGCGGGGTCTCTGGGATGTCCGTCTTTCGTAGCTGGTGATTCCTGAAAAGAGAAGCCAGCGCTGGGATTGTGACGGGTGCCCCAAGCCGGGCGGATCTGCTTCCCGGCATTCCTGCCTGCAAGCGGCTTCTGAGCGTTAAGTTCCTCCGGAGTAATCCGAAACGTGGACACGGGAACCATGAATGCGGTTAATCCCGCAAGAAGTGCAAGGCCCTCTTGCCTTTGGGGACGGTGAAAGGGGGCCCCTACTTATGACCATCCAAGCACCTCCTGGAAGAAAGGACTCACAGCTGCTGCTACCGGCCAAGCTGAGCCAGGCGTTGTGCTAAGGACTTCCCACGCCTCCTCTCACCTGACCCGACCAGGACCCTGTCCGTTAGCTGGAGGCACCGTGCTACTCACGCACACAGACACAGGTTGAAGGCTCTGCCCAAGCGCACGCGGCTCGGAGGCCACAGCCTCAACTCAACCCCAGGGTCGTCTGCCTCCAAAACCTGTGACCTTGACCACCGTGCAGCAAACCCCTGCTGACTTCCTGGTTAGAAGTCCTCAGGACTGCCACGCACAGCTGCCTCCCAGCTACGGCTCCAAGGGGTCTAGCTGCTCGAGGGCACGAGAGCCAGCCCCTCTCCTCCAGCAGCCGGGCCTGGGCATCCGGGCCCACCCCACTCGGTGACGACACGGCTGTCTGGCATCCCTGCTCTGCCACCGCGGCCGCGACAGAAACCAGGTTAGCACGAACACATGGATCGTCCTCGTGGAGAGTGCTGCGAGGTGAAGCCAGCACCGAGCGTGGTCATGGGCAGAGGGGAGAGCCACGGAAGGCCAGCCTGGCATGGGCTCCACCGTGTGGAGGCTAAACTGGACGATGCGGGGGCATAGGTCACCAGGTGTGGACAGGTGAGGAGGGGACCCCAGGGTAAAAACAGCTTCCACAGACAGGGTCGAATCCCACAGTGTTCTAGGACTTGCAAGTAACTAAAGCGGGGCTCGCCTTGTGCGGACGTGGAAGGTCCTGCGGGGGCGTCCTCGGCGGGGCTGTCTTACCAGGGGTGACCACAATTTTAATGGGCTGGGCCCTGTGAGCTGACCACCAGGGAGGACTCGTGTCCTCATGGCCCCTCCTGTCAAGGGACTCATTCTTTTTCAAGCTTCTGAGCTTGCTCGCGTCTTGCTGCAGCAAAACTTGGAAAGCCGACTGCTCAACAGAACGGCTGTATCCGGCTGGGACAGAGGTCGACCAAGGGCAGCCACATCAGGTAGCTCTCTACGCTCTCAGGACAGAGGGCTCGTGAACACAGAGGGCGGGGGCTCCCGGACAGACCCCATCCAGCTTCCTCAGAAGCTGTTCCTGTGGGGGTAAGGGAGTGCGCTGAGGGAGGAGGAGGGGGCGAAGGCCCGGGAGGCTTGGTGGTGAGGGAGAGAGGAGTCCCTCCCTCTGGGGAGGGGACGGAAGACGGGCCTTGACACTAGAAGACGGGATGGAGAGAAATCTCAGAGAGCAAGCAACACGGGGCCAGGCCAACACTATGCTGCCTCCTCTCATTTCCAGAAGACCCATCCGGCCAGGCCCGGGGAGCGTCACGCGAGCCCTGAAAGCAAAGGGAGGGCCTCCACGGGGAGCCACGTCCTCTCCCCACCGAGCCAGCGTGGCTCTCGGCAAGGCTGCGGGGCCCAGCCGGCTAGGGACCGGGAGGCTCGGCCAGGCAGAAGCAGGGCCCAACCCTGCCAGGCCAGGCCACATGCACGAGGCAGCCCTGAGGTTACTTACTCCTCGGGAGTGAGGCAGCTCCTCGCTGCTCTGGCCAGAGGAATACAGATTGACGTATTCACCCTCACCAGCCTCCTCGCTGGCGTTTTCACTCTGGGGGAGACAGGATGAGAGGAGATGCACATGTGACAGGCCCCCCCAGCCCGCCGTCACGGCTCCGAGAGAGAGCAGCCCACCGGGCCGGCCCTGACCGGGACTCTCCTCTCACGGGGAAGGAAAGAGGGCAGCAGCAGGAGCTCGGGTCTCCCTGGGGACCTTTCCCAGGCCCGAGAAGGAAGCCACTCCTGCCACCTCTTGCCTCTGTGTTACAGGGGACGCAAGTTTCCCGCTGGATCTCCTCCAGGGAGGTCAAGGGGCGTTCAAACTGCCCCGGAGGGAGGCAACGTACCAAGACAGGCCAGCTCGCTGCAGCGCCGCCCCCGCCTGCCGGCCCCGGTCCTCTCCGCCCTGCCAGCTAGCACCCCGTCCCCGTCCCCGTCCCCGGATGAGGCGCTCAGGGAACTCAGCAGCACAGGCAGGCAGGGCCGCTGTCCTCAGCACCACCTGCAGCCACAGAGGCAACTGCCTCCGGTCTCAGAGTCCTCTGTCCGCACCTTTCTTCCACAGGTGTTTGTGTCTTTCTCTAAAAACGCACAACCAACCAGGAAACCAGGCGCATTTTCTGTCTCGTGCTTATGGCTGTCTCTACACGGCCACTAATCTGTTTCTGGAAAATCGGGTTCCCCATCTGATGGGAACTCTGTACGGAAGGTTCCGTTTCTGTTCTGGAAACAGACACCCTCCTGTTTCACTCTGCGACCTTCCACAGACCTCAACCAGACAGGCCTGCCACTGGGGGTGGGGGGGGGGGGGGGGGGGGGGGGGGCGGCAGACTCACGAACAGCAACACCGCTTTTCTCAAAACGTGCAGACCCACGTGCAGGGGTGTGTGTGCGGAGTTCTCACCGAAGGCGTCGGGGGCGAGTCAGTGAGAGAGGTTTCGGAAGGAAGGCAGACAGTGTTCCCATGAAAGCTGCTCTCCTGAGAAGACGAGAGAGGCCCGTCCACGGTGCTGGGAGGCAGACTGGCCACGGTCGGCACCGCTAAGTCAGAGCTCTGAGACTGGTGGACGGGCGGGAAGTGTGGAGAGGAAGAGGGGGTAGACGGGAGGAAAGGCTGAACGGAAGCTTGGTTGTGAGGCACGAAATCCTGGGAGTAGGACCTAAACACAGATTTATACTACAGAATCAAAGCGGCAGACAGACACAGAAACGGGAAGATGGGAAGAAGAAAACAGACAAAAGAAAAAGTCGTTAGATTAGGTCGGCCGAGCTGGGGTAGGCCGTTCACAGCGATTCTAATGAGGACCACGGAGCAGGCCGAAGCAACCCCCGCATGCCTCCGGCCCGAGGTCCCCCAACCCGGGCGTGCCCTCCCTTGAGCAGGGCCTGGGGACCGACCCGCGCCATCCGCCACAACAGAGGGACGCGGGCACCCTCAGCAACGAGCAAGCCCCAGGCGCGGTACGGGTGGTCCCGCCGTCTGCTGTGTCAGAGAACCAAACCCACGAACCCAACCCGTGCCTCTGTCCCTTCAGGAACCTGGTGGCTAAATGCAGTGTGCGCCTCAGACCACGGGTCATATTTACTCATTTCGAGTCTTTCGCATGAACTTCTTTGGTTTTATCCCTTAAAAGTCAAACGCCGCAGCCTTTCAAATACCGTAACCCGCTTCAAATCCTTTTGGAAGGGGAGTCTTAAAAATGCGATCAAAATGCTGAAAATTTCTCTGAGCTCACTTCCCTCCCTACCCGATCTTTTCTCTTTTCTTTCACCAATGGAGGGATCTTGCAATGTCTCTGGTACCACCCTAGAGCTGCAAGGCTAACACTCTCCCAAACTCTCATGGAGACAGAGAAGTCTCGAGGCCAGGTTGAGGGGTGACAGCGAACGCCCACAGCTTCTGAGAGCCAACGAGCACTGCCCAGGCCTGAGCTCTGCTGTGGGAGGAGGGACAGAGGAGCTCTGGGGCCACCAGGCTCAGAACCTAAGATGTCACCATGTCCCACAAAGGGCCTGACAGCCTGATGCTGTCACAGGGAAGCGGGAGAAGGGCGTGTGGAATGGTCTGTATCCAAAGTGCTGGCCCGGCTCACCTGCCCACCACAGATGCCAGAGTTTGCCAGAAGCCAAACTCAACACAAATGTGCACACGGCTCCCTCAAATGTTCTCTGCGTTTTGCCACTGGATTTTCAGAACCCACAGACAAGGAAAAGGAGGAAGAAACACAATTCTAAACAGGAGGTTAAAGCCACTCACATCCTTAGGTGGTTTTGTAAAGCTACACTTTACACTGGACCAAGGGGCTGCCTCAACTCCAGGGACAGGCCCCCCCCCCCCC